TCATCAGATGGATTATCAAGTGTATAAATAAGTACTGGACCATCAGGATCAATAGCAGTTACTTGACCAATGTAACTTTGAGGAGCATTATTTTCAGAAATTGAAAATTCATATGTCGATTGAGGAAACTACAAACACAAAAAAAAATAATACATCTAATTCTTTTTCAATTTCAGTCATAGTATAGAGCAGTGGCGGATTTAGGGGGGCAATGGGGACGGTCGCCCCTCCCCCTCCTTTAAAATATTTTTTTGATTTTTTACAACAAAAATGAACCAGCAAAATAGGTTCACACTATTTCGATTGGGCTCAAAAATAGTTTTTAGCCGAAATCGCTCCTATCTACTCAGGTATCACCCCTCCCTTCCAAAATTCTAGATCCGCCACTGGTATAGAGAAGACTATTTGAATTGACATTTTAATTTACTTTAGGAATATTATCATTTTGGTCAATTATATTCACAAAGACCATAGCTGTTGTTTTAAATTGTTGTCCAATCTTCGGATGATCCATAGCGGAAACATTAAAAGAAAAATTTTTTATTTCTTCATAATCAAATTGTATAGTTGTTCGTATAATTCCTGTTTGATGATCAATCCAAACATAATTATTTTTTTCATTATTCAATTCATATGTAATACGTCCATTTTCATTTATATCCGAATCATTAGCAAATATTTGTATTAATGTTGTATTAATAAAATTATTTTCTTGTATATCAACATAATAAATATCTCGATCAAATTCAGGTGAATTATCATTATTATCTATGATATTTATTTTTAATTTATAATACGATGTTAATATTGGTTTTCCATAATCACTTATAATTAAATTTAAAATATATTGATCTCTATATTCTCGATCAAGTTTCATATTTGTTAATAAAACATATGTTGAATCACCATATGGACCATCGATATTGAATGGTAAAAATCCAGATGAATTAATTTTTAAATCAAATTTTAATTGAGAATCAAGATCAGATGCAATTAAATTTGCAATAATTATACCTTTTTGTTCAACTTTTGATTCATGCACAGAAATTTCAATATGAAATGAATCTGTATCATTAATAATTTGTATGGTTTGTAATGGAAAATTCCATGAAAGTAATGGTGAACAATCATTAATATCATCTACATCAATAATAACATATGTATAAAATGGTATGTGATGTATATTATGAGCTTGTATAACTAATTTCCATGTTGTTATTGATTCATAATCTAATGATTGTAATAAAGATAAATATCCTGTTGTAGAATTTAAAGAAAAATAATCAAAATTTTTCTTTGTATTCGTTGATGATAATAAATAATTTGTTGATAAACATGGTGAAAGTGTTTTAATATGTAAAAAATTTTTATAGATTTCATTTTCTTTTAATTTAATACGATAAGGATTTTTTTCAAATTGACATAAAGAATTTTTATTACAATTTGTTTGATTTGATTGAATTTTTATTTCATAAATTGTTGTATTTTGTGGAAAGACAATTTCTAATTTTAATGTTGAATTAAATGAGCAAAATTGTTTTAATGATGTTCGTGTTAATAATTGACATGAAGGATTTAAATAAAAATACTTCGATTCGGTTTGTAATATGCAACGATAAGGATATGTTGGATGAAATTCATAACGAAAATCATATAGAATTAGATCTGATTTATGATAATTAATTGGATCAATAATAATAGATGGTAAGAAATGTAAAGAATGTGTTGAATAGAGAGAAGAAATAAAGAATATGAAAAAGATTAGAAGAGAAATCATTGATTATCTATCTAAAATTCAATAAGATAATTTAAGAAGTGACTCTATTTTTAAGTCATTGTAAGCTAGATGATGATGATTTAAGAGTAATGAATAAAATTGACAATTTCTAGATAACATGATCCTTCCTGTTTACTCATCAATTGTTCCATTACTATTGTAATTGATACCAAGGACAGATGGTGTTCTATGAAATTTCCCGTTTACTAATAATACCTAAATGAAAAAAAAGCATGTGCATCAACTGTTAACACATTTTTTAAATGATGAAAGACGGAAATATCTATAAAAAGAAAACAAATGTTCATACTTTATCATTATTATAATAAAATATGACAAATAATAATATATATATATATCTATTTTACTCTTTACTTTGAACTTTTTCTTCATTCAGTTCCATTAAGAACGGAAGAGTAAGTAATTTACATAAATAACTGATCATAACATTCAAACAATATTATTTTACATCAATATAAACTAACATCCGGACTGTCTCTTCTACTCTAATAGTTTTACACAATGATAGTCTATGAACGATTATATCTAAAATTATACTCTATGATAATTTCAAGGCGATCGATAAATGTAAACTTTTGTTTTCACAAAATTTATATTCTTGTTGACGGAAATGACCTTTTATACTCTATCTTATATACTATCTGACATGTGTTTATTATTCAGTAGAGAAAGAAGAAGAAGAAGAAAAAAAAAAGAAGATCGATCTAATCTTTTCTTTTATAACTCATATATTTAAAATATTAATCAATAAATCTTTATTCGAAAAATAATTAATAATGCTTCATTACTTGTATTGTATGTTGTATTACATCATATTTATATATAACTATAGTAAATATAGTACTATATATAATATACAATTCAATCTCCCAAGAGTGTTAATCGATTGAACAAATGATGATTGAGAAAGAAAGGAAAAAAAAAGATTTCTACGAACAAAGAATGCAACTGTCATAGTATGACTTGATTAGAATCGATTAAAAAATTGTTTATTACAATTCATCTGTCTAGTTGAATTCTTAAATAATATTTATCATTTTATGAAATCAGTTCATAAATAGAAAGATTAGTAATAACTGTCATTGAACACAAAAAAAAAGAATCATCTTATTGATTACAAGATCGTGTTTAAGTGTTTTTATCTATTCAGTTGATAATACTATACATATTGGTATTCCATACTTAGCACGTACGTCATACGGCTTACTAACTGATATGAACAACGGTGGGTATAAACATACATGTTCAATGTAATCAATCGCATGATATAATCAACTCTACTATCACTAAATGCAAAAAAAAGTAAAAAAAATCTTCTTCATATAATCAGAGTTCTACTCACAGCAAGTAACCGGATGGAAGTATGGTTGAATAACGAACGATAATAAGATGAGACTTAATAGAAAGCATCTTCTTCTTTTTTTTATTATTAAATCTTGACGCAATCAAATTTTTTGACACGATTTCAATTTTTCATTCACGCCTATATTTGTGTGTCAAAAACACTTACCTACTTGACAATAAAATAATGCTTTGTCTTGTCTATGATTGTGTTGTTAAATTGAACGATAGTATTCATTGAATCAGATTAATGTTATAATATTTGTCTGATCTGAATTAGATTGTGTTGCCATTTGTTTAATTGTATGCTTGAGAAAAAAGATCATCTGTCACATCAGTAAACGATGAACATAGTTATCTGAAATGCGACAGTGTTACTCATTACTTATAGAATACAAGAAGAAGAAGAAAAGGAAATAAAGGAGGAGAGAATAGGGAAAGTAATCCATTAGATTGATGCTTAATCGCGGCACGCGTCTAATGGTCAATACTCGTAAGTGAATTGATTAGACGATTGTTTGCTTAAAAAAAGAAAGAAGGAGAGAGACAGAGAAGGATGTAAATAGAATATAGATTCTCATTTGTTTAAAATCAGAATAAAGTTACGTGTGAAAGAAAAAAAAACTGTTTGAACGAACATAAACAAATAATATAAATGTCGTCACCACTATCGAATGTTCATACATACATATAACATGATAGTTATGTGTTCAATAATTGTCCGAACGGCCATCGACGAACTATTGAGGGTGCCATTGTTTGATAAGGCTATATTTTTTCTAATGATTGTCTACAGCTGTTCAAGTCGTTTTACAATGAACAATGTCAGTAGTTACTTAAGACAAAGAAAAAAATTTTTTTTTTTCTTTTAATATACATATACACATCATCAATCTTTATGTTCTTCGAAGCATACGACAGACATCAGAATTATCTTTTCCGCAATAGATCAAGGTGATTCTCACCCTTCTCCAATATCTCACTGTGTTTGTCTAATATACAAGTAGCTTACTTTATAGTCGTGTATACATATGATATCGCTCTTTTTATTCTCACACGCGTGGACGAATACTTATTATGGCTACTACTACGACTACTACAATGTATGTGTATTTATGTACACGACAAACCTGCGGTTATGTACATAGAAAAAAAAGAGACTTGTACACGATGCAAACAAAGTTAATTAAAGAGCGAACCGGATGAAGTAAGAGAAGGATGGAATACAATATATGTTTGTATGTGACGCAAGATGTTCAATGAAAAAAAAAAAGCAGAGCTATGCCTATAGTCAAATTTGTTAACGCTACATACGACATGAAAGCCTTGAAAAGACGAAGAAGAAGTTGTATATGTGAACATCTATTCAATGTACATATTATTAGCTTTTTGAAAAAGATATAATTTTATTAAATATATCTGCATATTTAATGAATCGTGATATGATAAGATCAGACGCGTCATTGTTTGTTCTTTTGACTATCTCACATTCTTCTTATACAATAATAATGACTTAGATAGAGATATAGAACTGTTGACACTTACTTTGTTAATGACAGTTACTTCAAAAATGATCTTATTAATTCATATTCTATATATATATATCAATCAATGAAATAACTATTACTATTTAATGATCGATATGAAAAAAACCGGAGGTCAGTTTAATATTATATCATAAGATTCATTACTATCGATTCATATACCAAAAAAAAAATGATATGTATATATACATATATTAAGAGAGAGAAAAAAAATCTGAAGGCTAATGATAACAACGACTGTAATCATGAAGATAGAATATTGTTTGATTCAACTGTGGATTACTTGGAGGACATTTAACCTGATTGAATGAATATATAAATTTGTCCCTGAAAAAAATATGAACACATAATGGTATTCATATATATATATATATATGATTTTAAATAATACAAAAAAAAAAGAAGTAGATAAATATATTATAAGAAAAATATTGTAATAATATTGGCATTAAGAAAAGATACATCTTTTCTTGAGCATATGTTACACATATAAACATTATTGACATACTGCATTCTGTCTATTATATTGCATATATAAAAGTACTTCTGTAATACGATTGATTATTCGATTATTTATAACCATGAATATTCTGTATATTCCTTTTTATCATTACCTTGAATAGTATCTATCTAATTCGATCGATTATACATATTCTTTTCTACTACCTTGATACTTACTTTTTTATACTTGTCGCTCTACATTTATAACAAGCTGTCCTATTAGTCTGATCACTCTCTATATTCTTTTACATAATCTATCATCAGTCTAGTATGTTTATATAAAAACAACGACGCAACAAAAAAAAAAAGTAATAACCTTATCAATCATTGTTGAATATATCCGATTGTTGATCAATTCATATATGGAGATTATCATTTGATTTTGTCAATATGCATAATGGATGGACAGGCATACAACGAAGTAAAATCGATCAAAATTACCTGATAGATACACACCTCAAGAAGAAAAAAAAGAGTACGTATGAATGACCATGTATCATTTTGTCATCAACTCTTTCTTTTGCATATGCACGCAATCAAAATCAGTGTGATGTGTCTTTCGCAATCATTTCATATATGTGTATAATAATGATATGGAAGTAGGCATATAAGTTGATTGAACTATTAAAATCATATATATAGAATTTAAATATTTGTCTATTTTTTTAGAAATCAAATTATTATTTCTTCCTGTGATAAATCGATATATCATTTGGTTTCAAGTTTACTTTATCGAATATTACTATTCATTTAAATAGATTTTAACGAACAATATTATCATTATTGAATAGCAAACACAAAAAAAAATTTTTCAGACGGTGAAATTTGAAACGGAGACAGGATATAATCATAAAATTTATATTAAATAAAATCTAAAAAAGAATGAAATTTTTCACGGACATCAATTTACCATGACATTCATCATCATATTAATTGGGTGTTTAAAAGTTGATGCTTAAAAAAAACAATTTTGTGTATATGTTGTATAATGAAAATGTATATCTATTAGAGAAAAATTCTTATATTACTAATTGATATAGATCTATTCTTATTAATCATCATATTGTTTGCATCGCTCTAAAAACATGTATGAGTATCTGATTTCTAAAACTAATAATAATGAAATAATATAGCTTGAGGATAGGAATTATTTAATATTAAGACAAACAGTTAATAAATGAATACAGTCGTCGATCGCACGATATTGCTTTGAAAATATTCAATAATCATGTTATTAGATGAAGAACTGCTAGGAGGTAATGTTTATTTTTAATTTAATAATATAATAGTGAAGACAATTTTTTAAGTTGATCTGATGTTACGACTTGGTTGAAAGCATGAAGTATTTATAGTACTATATAAGGTAAGGCAGAACAAGAAAAGTTACAAAAAAAATAAACAGAATAATATTGAATCAATAAAAATTTCAATTTTGCACTGATATTACATATAATCAATATAAATTCATAATCAAGATCACCTGCTACAATGGAAATTCATAATTAAATTATCTTTTCTTTCTTGAACTACTGTTGAATAATATACTATAATTCTATTTTTTTAGGAATTTTATATGGTTGTGGAGTATATTTTCATGAACATGCGAGTTACAGCTCTAGCTATAGTAGATTAGACAGTTCAGGTGAACGAACAATGTTCTTAGCTCGTGTTTTGATTGGTAAAACATGTATTGGTTCATCATCGATGAAAGTACCACCAGTAGGATTTGATACAACAACAGATGGTCAACATATTTTTGTTGTTTATCATGATGCTAGTGCATATGGTGAATACCTTATAACATACAAATGAAATTTGTATCATTTTATTTTCGATTTTTATTCACATATATCTGACATTGATCTCTAAATAACAAAATTTTCTAAACGAATAATAATTTTGAGAAGAGTGGTTTCAAAGATCATATTATATAGTCTTCAAATAAATTGCATGATGATCTAATAATAAATATACATATCTATACGTACATATAGACAACTTATTAAATAGGATCTATAGTGGTTTAATAATAATCTTTGATAGGTATTGAATTACTCTTAAACGATAGTTTAGTATGTTCTTGAAAAATAATTTATCGAGACACTCTTCGTCACAGTTTACAGTACAAGGTTAGAGCTCTCAAATCTCAGGTTAAAAAATTATTGTGTAAGAATCATTAAAAATGAAAAACTAAATATCAAATTTAGTCGATCATGTATCATTCATGTTCAACTAGAAATAATTCATTTCTATAAATAATGACTTACAAAATATACATAGACGTTTAGTATTGTTTGGATTTAGTATCTTTCTATGGTTATTATTATTACTATTAATAAAATGCGTGATTGAATCCTAAGACTGAGATCTATATTAGAGTATTAAAATAATAATAATCAGTGCAATGTTAATGATAAACCAGCATCTTTATATGATTTTATTATTTGTAGATCTGTATCGAATCTTCTCCAATGAGATACTATATATTAAGAAAAAGCAGAAAGTATAAAAAACAATGATCGTATATATGTCATATTAAAAATTGAGATATGATACTTTTTATAACTATAAAAGATTGATTGATTAGATATACATATCACATTTTTTCTGGCTCTCGATAAAAAATAATATTGATCTTCACTCGATGAACTATTCGGATTTTTTTTATTAAACCGATACATTGAGCTTGTATTACAATTCAAATATTTATTAAAGATGTATTAATTATATATACATTTCATCTTATTATTGCACACAGGTAGTATCCATGCACGAAAGCATTGTTTGTGAACTGTTCCAAAGTTGTATGAAAATTTGTTAAAATTAGTTAAAGAAGAACAAATTTTATTAACTCTATTATTCATCAAAGCTAAGACGTACACATCAAAAGCTTTGAAATAAAATTTGTTCTTGAGAGGCTGCTAGCAACTCATGTATAACTTTAATATATTAATAGCAATGTGACAAATGGTTAACGATAAAAGAAATCATTTTCTTCTATATAACAAATGTTGAAGGACAAAAAGAATCTATAGTAAAATTGTCGTAATATATATCTCTGTGCTAGCTATAAATCTATCTTTTTTATATCAGTACTCTTTACATGACAATCAAGTACCCTCCAGAAGATTTGCATTAGAAAGTCAGAAATAGTTTGTCGTTATAATAACAATAAAATGTTCATTTTAATAAACAGTATTTCATTATTCTTGTGCTTGATTGATAGTAAAGAATTCTTCTAAAAATCATGTGAGATGAGCATAGAATTCGTTATCATATTTTTGTATGAAACTTTATTTCACAAAACTATTAACAAGAGGGTGTGGGTGTTGAATTTTTGTTTATGCTATAGTGGAACTTTAAACTTAATTATTTATTTTGTAAGAATATTAATAAACATATCACAAGAAAAATGACTATAAGATCATATCGAGCATTTCTTTTCCATCAATTCAATATGTAAAAAAAAAGATGACAAATATTGAATTTGTATACGAAATTTCTATGACGTCGTGATTATTTTATATCCAAGAATCAATAAATCAATTTTCTTTTTCTATTTTAAATTATAGTAGCTATTCAGTTACTAAATATTAAAATAACATACCAAATACTAGAATACTTAGCAAGAAAGATATCATATCTATAAATTTCCAGATTATTTAGTAGTGACATGTTGATAAATATTTATTTTATTAGTTTTTACAGACTTTTGTATATTAGTATGCATGAACATTTATAATCCATTACATCAAGCAAATGTCAAAACCTATTACTTAGAAATGGAGATATATATATACAAGTCAATGTGTTGATTAAACTTCCTCTCACTATTCACATCTACACTTTGTAAAAATAAAATTTTTCCTATAAGTTTAAATTCTATAAACCAAATAAATACATTGAATATTCTTAGCACAAACTACCTGAAACTTCATATTATTTCAATATGTTGATCGTTCAATTTTACTATTTATAGATATTGTTTTTTACGACATTTTTCCTGTATATCATTTTCACCCACCTGTTCGCTACTCATATAGCCGTAAATGAGCAATAAAATCTTCTCAGATAAGTTTTTCAATCGATCTCACGTGAATGTAGTCATATATATGTAAATCTATGTTCTTATTGTTGTAAACGAGTACTTACGATCGCTTTGCAATAAACAAGAGTCATTGAAATTAGTCACTGATATTTTATAACTATGCAAGAGTATGAGAGAGAGAGGAAGAGCGAAAAGAAAAACTATTGCATTACCTATATCTTATCACAAAGCAAATATTTGATCATCGCAACACCACACGATGATACATATATATATATATATATATTTAGATATGATGCGAAAAAGTTCATTACTGTTGCAGTTTTTCTATTTCACGATAAAAATGAAATTGACTAGATTTACTCGTTATTATAGTTTTTTAATGGAGGCTAGTTCCTGTAATAATCCGCATATGTTCAGACTTATCTATGCATTTTGTTCAATCATAAGACAGTCAAAAATTTGAAGAATATCTTTGTTTCATTTTTTTTTTGCACTTGGTTCGATAGATTTTTCAGTAAATAAAAATATGTATAAAATAGTGCTGTATTATATTAAAATAATCAATATCAGGTTCATTCCTATTGTAACTTATCACAGTTTATTAAGAATCTTATAGTTACAGAAAATAGATCATACCGAACGATCATAATCTAGCATTGTCTTTCACATTCCGACATTATGAGAAGTCTTAAGAAATATTGTAAGATAAACAAAAACTATATTTTCTATTTTTTGAATTTTAAAAGATTATATGATTTTGATATTTTCTTAATAAATGCATCTAAGATTATTTGATATTCTAATATCACACATGGTCTTCTTTGCTTATTTTCTCCTCATTAAATTAATAATAGTTAACAAAAACATTTGATTTATTATCAAATTTACACATCATATTATACAAAATTCTAATTTTAGATGGATTTTTCATCAGGAAAATACAATACAATTTTATTACGTTCTGTTATTATGATAATAATCATTCTTATTAGTTTCTATATTATGAAAATAAAACTTGTAACATCAATTAATGTTATTATTTCAAAAAATCAAAATATTGCAAAAAGTCAAAATATTTCATTGGGACAAAATATTTCATCAGAACAAAAAATGGCATGTATCGTTTATATCCAAGATAAACTTGGTCGTTTTGGTAATCGAATGTTTCTCATTGCAAGTGCTTATGGTCTTGCTCGCCTTCATTCTTGTCATTTATATGTAGAATTAGAAATTATCAATGAATTGAAATCAGTATTTATTCTGGATTTGTCTCCAGTACTTATCTCATCATCGACATTTAATTCACTTACTAGGAGCAGTTCAAAATCAATGAATAGAATCAGTCAGAGCGTTGTTTGCGATTATATTACAACGTTAACTCGTCCAAATGCAATTCCATCAGGAACGATATTTGAACTCATAGGTTATTGGCAATCATATCTACATTTTGCTAAATATGATGAAGAACTTCGACAACGTATTTTTGTCGCATCACAATCAATACTTGGAAAAGTTTCGAATTTTTTCATTGAATTTTATCAACGACAACTAGATTATCGGCCTCAATTTTTATTAGAAAATCATCAATCCTTTAAAAAGCAATTGTCTCAATTAAATTCGACTACATGGATTGGAATTCATGTACGTCGTTCAGATTTTATACCAATACATTATTCTTCAGATGATGCTTATTTATTTGATGCTATTAAATATTATACTGAGCGCTATTCAAATGCTCATTTTATAGTTGCTAGTGATGATAAATCTTATTGTAAAAAGCTTTTTCGTAATCGATCAAATATTTTTCTTACACCTCAAACATTTTCCGTTGGTGATGATCTAGTAATTCTTTCACTTTGTCAACATTCAATTATAACTGGTGGAACATTTGGATGGTGGACAGGTTATCTTGCTGGCGGAGAAGTAATTCATGATAAAATTTATCCATCAGGATGTTCAAGACGTGAATATTATTATCCACCATGGTTTTTAATAGATGGAAATGTACGTGCACATAAAAATACTGAGTATATTTTATGATAGAATAACTACTATTATTCTATTTTTCTCGCTAATAGATCAAATATTAATAACAGGTATATCTTATTAAACTTTATTTGTTCGCATTTAGTTTTTTTCCACGTTGCCCAATATTTCTTTATAAAAATCAAGGCTATTATTATCCTAATAAAATATTCTTGTTTTGATATATTTTTTTTTTGTACATAATAACAAATAGTTCAACTGTAAATAAATTGATCACTTCCAAAGTTTTTTCAATGAAACATTCTTTTCTGAATCTTTTTGCATGACCTAAAAGAAATATTTATTCAAATATTAATAATAATTTATGTCTATCTTCGAATAGTTTTACCTTTGCAACAGCTAATTCAAAATCTTCTTGTGTTACATGTACACGTCGTTCTCGAAGTGCATACATTCCAGCTTCAGTACAAACACCCTAGAAAAAATAAAGCAAATACATAGAATTTCTTACTACTTTTATTAGATTCGATTTCTTATACTTTAACTTCAGCACCAGAAGCACCAGGCATCATTTCTGCAATTTTTCTTAGATTAATACCACGTGTTAAATTCATTTTACGTGAATGAATTTTTAATATATCTAAACGAGCTTCTTCACTTGGTGCTGGAAATTCTATTTTACGATCAATACGTCCAGGACGTAATAGTGCAGGATCAAGAATATCAATACGATTCGTTGCCATAATAACTCTTAAATGAACAAAAAAAATAAAGAAATCAAAATATAAATTTCATTTATTTTACTTTATATTTTGTTTTGGTTCAAAACCATCTAATTGATTAAGTAATTCTAACATTGTTCGTTGTACTTCACTATCACCACCTGAACTACCTTCAACACGTGTTGAACCAATAGAATCAATTTCATCCATAAATATAATTGATGGTGCATGTTCACTAAATTTATGAAAGATTAATTTTAAAAATAAAAGAAAATTTTTCTTTTTCTTTTCCTACCGAGCCATAACGAATAATTCACGAACCATTCGTGAACCTTCACCAATAAATTTTTGAACTAATTCTGAGCCCGATACACGAATAAATGTACATTCAGTATGATGTGCAACTGCTCGAGCTAGAAGAGTTTTACCAGTACCTGGTGGTCCATAAAGTAAAACACCCTAAATTATGATTTGATAATTTTAAAAAAAATAACAAATTGAAACAAAAGAAATCTTACTTTCGGTTGACTAATTCCTAAAGCATCAAATAGTTCTGGGTGTTTAACTGGTAATTCAATAACTTCTTTTATTTCTTTTATTTGTTTATCAAGACCGCCAACCATTTCATAGGTAGAATCGGGAACTTTTTCTACCATCATTAAACTAACTAATGGATCAACCTTAAATCATAGAAATATTTTATAATAATAAATAAAATAGATTTTCTATTTGTTACTTTATTTGGTAAAATTTTATGTAATGTATAACTATCATTTTTTAATGCAACACGACAACTTGGTGTTAATTTAGCTATATCAATATTTTTATCGAGATCAACAACAAATTTACCTTCTGGATGAACCTAGAAATAAACAAAAAATTCAAACTTTTCATTATTACTTATATCTTAACTGAAATATGTATTTAAATCTATCTCATTGATTTTAAAATATGGTAATAGACTGTCATTAGTTATGATGTTCCGTCGATCAGACAGTTTTGAAATACATGATTCAATAGACAAAAATACTCATTCAATATAAGTAAAAATAAATTGAATATCTAAATTTATTTATTTGATTCAAATATAATAAAAGTCAAATCAGAATAATCGAATTTCATACATCTTTTATGTTAAGAATAGCTATCGAAAGAATTTTAGGCTTTCAATGTGTTATTTTGTTCGTGAAGTATATTCATTAGACGAAACTAAGTATTAATGACATTATAAAATCTGGTAAAGACATCTCATATACTTTGTACAACATTACAATATTCTTATCTTAGTTTCCAATGAAACTCATTAAATTCAAACGAATAAACAAAGACAATATAACATACTTTAACAAGAACTTTTTTTTTATCCATAGCTTTAACAACTTCACCAACTAATGAACCTTGTTCTTGTAATAACTGTAATTCTTCACGTAACATTCGAACTAGATTAATAAATAATAAAGAAATATTTTTGAATTTTATCTTCTCATATATACAATACCTTTAGCATTTAATTCATTTCGTTTAGCTTGAAGACGACGTAAATTTTGACTTTTTTCTGCTACATGTAACTAGAAAAGAAATTCTTCAAAGACATTTCTTTTCTTCTATATATTTATATTACTTGAAGTTCTTCAATTTTTTGAACATAATATTGTTTAATACCTTCATGTGTATCATTTGAAGCACTTGCTACATTAGTAGTAAGTGTATTAGGAGTAGGCGTGGATCTCATAAGTTCAACCATTGTTTTATCCGTTTTCATATACAAACAAAAATCTATTTTTATTTTTTATTTCAAGTAAACGAAATCTACAATAGAGATTCTATTTACTGAGAAACGATATCGAAATTACTCATAACATTTATATTAGCTCTTCTTCTCTGATCATGATCATAAAGTGTATCGTATTCAGTCATTATTCGACAAACAATAATGAACCAAAATAATATCCGCTAATTTATAGATGTCATAAGATGTCATTGACTCCTTATACAATTTAACAACCATTATCAAACAAGTATTCTTCACATAATTTTACAACCAATTCATATCTTTATTTTTCATTCTTTTTTAGATACTTTGATTTATTATTGCAAACAAAGTATTTCATCACTGATATAATTGAATACTGAATCATCTGTAGTATATAATGTGACATTGTCAATAAGCCTATACTTACAAATTTTCCAGTTGTTGTAATTTTGTTCCATTGCTACGTAATTAGAAGTGTTTGATCGATAGTTTTTAATTAAGAAAACATTCGTCATCAAGTATTAGATTTTGCTAAATCGATTACTATTGCCTTGAATCAAGTCTTTGTGGACTGGTTCTATTGTCTAATACTGTACAAAGTGCAGTTCAGTTACTTGCGATCAAATATTTTTCTTTCGCGTTTTTCAACAGTAAATGCATCAAACTATATTCAATGCATCATCAGCTGTAAAAAAATACTAAATCGCTTCATTCGAGAATCCATTGATTCAATAGTGTCAAGAGAGATAATGGGATTTGTGATATATTCGATAGTATCATTTTGTTTCAGATATGTCTTCGGATCAGATAGTCTTTTAATCATTAAAGAAAATTAGATGATCGCGCAAATATTAATTACTTGAATGTTGTTTTGAAAACTGAAACCAGTATATATATATTCTAGTTGGGAATATTAGAAGGTATTATTCATTATGAATGAATTAGTCGTTATCATTCGCACACTACAGCTGTAGAAGAGAATGCGGATAATAGAGTTTGCGTGTATGAGTAATTTAATTCTTTCACATTTAACTCTATGTTATATATATAAATCCATTTCAGATTGTATTCAACATCTTTATAGATAATGAATGAGTCATAAACTTTGAAATCTATTATTAAACATACAAACTATTGGTTCTTGCTACCTGACTAATAAGAAGAAAATAAAAGCATGAAAAGAAAGAAAAATATATATATAAATAGTAACAAACAACATTACTACTATTCACACTGTGTAAATATATAGCAGATACAAAATAAGCAGTTATGAGCCACGAATTGTATAAAGGTGAAGATCATACAACAAAATATCGTCTTTATAGACCTAATTATCCGACAAAACTATTTGACTATATTATTGATTACTATTTTAACGATAAAAATACAAAGGAAAAAATTCCACTTGCACTCGACATTGGATGTGGAAATGGTCAAGCAACAGTAGATCTTAGTTCGTAAGTATCTTATTAATCAATAAAAGAATGAATAAAAATACAATATTTTCATTGTTGAAAAGATACTGTGAACGAGTTATTGGTATTGATGTTAGCGCAGATCAAATTGCTAATGCAATACCAAAAGATAATGTTGAATATCGATGTTATTCAGGTGAAAATTTATCTTTTCTTGAATCAAATTCAATTGACTTAATAACAATTGCAACAACATTACATTGGCTTGATCTAGATACATGTTTTGAAGAAATTAAACGTGTACTTAAACCACATACAGGTGTATTAGCAATATGGACTTATGTATTTGGTTCATTAGATAATCCAGCAGCTGAAGCTATTTATCATGAATTTCATCATCACTTTTTATCACCTTATTGGCATCCGAAACAACATTTAGTTCATGATTATTATGAATCACTTATACCACGTTTTCCATATAATTCAACATTACATCAATATACAATTGAATGTTCACTTGAAACAACACTTAAATCTTTTCTTGGTTTAATTGAAACAGGATCGGCTTGTCAAACATATCGGAAACAAGTTGGTGAACAGGCATATCAAGATAAATTAAATACATTACGTCATCAATTAAGTGAATGTTATATTAAAACAGAAGTTAAAAATGATAATGACGATACTGTAGATCTTGATTCTATTAAAGTAACTATTGCACGACCAATTCGTCTTTATTTAATGAGAAAAACATAAATATTTCTGTTTAAATTAATACAAAATCATATTATATTATTCTATGTTTATATCTAAAACGATTTTAAAAATGAACGTTTTCATAGTCAAACAACGCATCTTCTTTTTTATTTAGACAAGCTATTTTACTCACGTTTCATTAACTATAATGTTTAAGATCTATAGTATTTACATTAAATAAAAATTTGTCATAACACCAACATGTATAAATTTATTTATTTTCTCATAAACTAAATCGATAAAATTTGATACATTAATTCAATATTCGTCCATACATGTAATACTTGCTGAGAGAGTATCTTCAGAGGGATACCCTAGAAGGATTTTGAATAGTAAATAGTTCAATAATTGTATTCAAGTTTCAAGTTTAATACTACTGATCTTTCTATAATGCTGTGCTAGTTTCTTGTCTGACTGTATTTGTTAGGAAATACTTGAATGAGAACCCATGAGAGGATCGAACTCCAGGGGTAAAGAGCGGAATCCGGATTCCTCAAGATCCCACAAAACCGTTTTGGACTCCAGAATTCCACTCTTCTCTCCTTGAATGTTTTTAATAATATTGATTGTCTTAGTTGATTTAAAAAATAATCTAAATCACTTTGTGTGATAAACTTCATTCAAATTGATATTGAATTACTTTTAATAATAAAAAATTTGATCTATTTTCATTTGTATAATATTCTTTATTCCCAATTCTAACGCAGAAAGATTTTAACGATGAAAAACTAGTTAACAAACGATTTAAACTAATTAAGTGTAGTAAATCAATACTTAAATTTTGTAAATAATGCTTCTTTGTATTAAAATAATTATTTTCAAGAGATAAGGGAGGAGTTCTTATTGAAGTAAAACTTGGCAATAATGAATTTTCGTCAAATAATGATGCAAACAACTTGAAGTTAACATACGCATTGATATATAATTTATATTTATTTTTATTTCCACTTACATTTAAACATTTTAAAGATTTCGCTGAGGTGTGATTGTGGATGAAGATGATAAAGAAGAAGAGACACTCACACCCACACCCACAAATATTTAAGGACAATCGAGTATATGATAAGTATGTCCTTTATCTGTTTATAAGTGATGGATAAGAATAAATCTTTAATACATCACTTATAAAAGATACATCGATAGTGTAAAACTTTCTTCATACTTATCGCCACAAAAACGTCGTTGGATGTTTACAATTTCTGTCTATATTGATACGACAGATTGATCTTCCATTAACCATATTTAGCTAACGCAACCATTCTTTTT